TAAATCCCAATTTGCCTCAGGGGGCTTCACAATCTGTACAGCATACAACAGCCTCTGTCCTTAGACCGTCGATTTGAATCAGGGTCTGTGTTTTCACCTGGTCTATGGGTGCTGGTCTGGCTCTGGAAGTTTTGTTCAACATGGGATGGTCCCTGGCCATCCCATATATATATATATATATATATATATATATATATATATACACACACACATATATATACACACACACAGAGCAGAATTATAAACACAACACTTTTGTTTTTGCCCCATTCATCATGAGCTGAACTCAAAGATCTAAGACTACAACACAAAAGGCCCATTTCTCTCAAATATTGTTCACAAATCTGTCAAAATCTGTGTTATTGAGCACTTATCAGAATCAGTATTGCCAGGTATGTGTACACATATGAGGAATTTGACTCAGCATTGTACATTGCTCACGATGTGCTTACTTATACAATAATACAATGATAAAATCAGACACAGGCTACTGAATAGAGAACACATACACTATTAACAAAACAATATAGACATATTGAGACAGTGCAGTGCTCTGTAGTGCCTACTAGAGGGGAGAAGCTGGAACAGGTTGTGTCCGGGTGAGATGGATCTGCAGTGATGTTTCCTGCCGGTTTCCTGACTCTGGAAATGTCCTGAATGGAGGGTAAGTTGGCACAAATGATTTTTTTCTGCAGTCCTGACTGTCCGTTTGTAGTCTGCTCCAGTCCTTTTTGGTGGCAGATCCAAACCAGACAGTGCAGGAAGTACATCCTCTGCTGGACATTCTTGATGATGGTGTCAGTGTTGGGCTCCCACTTCAGGTCCTGGGATATAGTGGAACCCAGAAACCTGAAGGATTCCACAGCAGACACAGGGCTGTTGAGTATGGTGATGGGGGGCACAGTGGGGGGGCTCCTCCAGAAGTCCACGGTCATCTCCACAGTTTTGAGCGTGTTAAGCTCCAGGTTGTTCTGACCGCACCAGAGAGCCAGCTGATCAACCTCCCGTCTGTAGGCCGACTCGTCACCGTCCCAGATGAGGCCGATGACCGTTGTGTCGTTAGCAAACTTCAGGAGTTTGACAGATGGGTCCCCTGAGTTGCAGTCATTGATGTAGAGGGAGAAGAGCAGTGGGGAGAGCACAACCCTCGGGGGGGCGCCAGTGCTGATAGTCTGGGTGCTAGATGTGATGTTCCCCAGCCTCACCTGCTGACTCCTGTCAGTCAGGAAGTCTGTGATCCACTGACAGGTGGAGGCTGGCACAGTGAGCTGGGTGAATTTGGTGCTGAGGATGTCCGAGATGATGGTGTTGAACGCCGAGCTGAAGTCCACAAACAGGATCCTTGCATATGTCCCTGGAGAGTCAAGGTGTTGCAGGATGTGATGCAGTCCCAAATTGACAGCATCATCCACTGACCTGTTAGCCCTGTAGGCAAACTGCAGGGGGTCCAGCAAGGGGCCTGTAATGTCCTTCAGGTGAGCCAACACCAGTCTTTCAAAGGACTTCATGACTACAGATGTTAGGGCGACGGGCCTGTAGTCATTTAGTCCAGAGATGGAGGGTTTTTTGGGGACCGGGATGACTGTGGAGCATTTGAAGCAGGAGGGAACTTCACACAGCTCCAGTGATCTGTTGAAGATCTGAGTGAAGATGGGGGCCAGCTGGTCCGCACAGATTTTCAGGCAGGATGGAGACACACCGTCAGGTCCAGGAGCCTTCTTGATCTTCTGCCTTTGGAAGAGGTGGCTCACTTCCTCTTCACAGATCTTGATTGCAGGTGAGAGGTCAGAGGGGGAAGGTGACTGTTTGAAGATGGCGTTGGAGTGGGGGAGAGGTGTGACTCTGGGCTTTTCAAACCTACAGTAGAAACCATTCAGCTCGTCTGCCAGTCGTTGAGTACCAGCAGTGTTGAGGGATGGTCTCTTGTAGTTTGTGAGTGCACCTCACAGGTGTGGCATATCAAGATGCTGATCAGACAGCATGGGGATTGCACAGGTGTGCCTTAGGCTGGCCCCAGTAAAAGCCCATTTGAAAATGTGCAATTCCATCACACAGCACTATGCCACAGATGTTGCAAGTTTTGAGGGAGCGTGCAGTTGGCATGCTGACTGCAGGAATGTCCACCAGAGCTGTTGCCCATGAATTAAATGTTTATTTCTCTACCATAAGCTGTCTCCAAAGGTGTTTCAGAGAATTTGGCAGTACATCCAACCGGCCTCACAACCGCAGACCACGTGTAACCACACCAGCCCAGGACCTCCACATCCAGCATCTTCACCTCTGATCATCTGAGACCAGCCACCCGGACAGCTGCTGCAACAATCGGTTTGCATAACCAAAGAATTTTTGCACAAACTGTCAGGAACCATGTCAGGAAAGCTCATCTGCTCGTCATCCTCATCGGGGTCTCAACCTGACTGCAACTTCGCACAGCCATTGAAGAGGAGTGGACCAACATTCCAATGGCCACAATCAACAACCTGATCAACTCTCTGCGAAGGAGATGTGTTGCACTGCATGAGGCAAATGGTGGTCACACCAGTACTGACTGGTGTTTATAATTTTGTTCAGTGTATATAAAAAGTTATTTTTTTGCAATTCAACTGCAATGAAAAAAGTTGAATTATTTGAAGTACATGAAAGTAAATAGAAACCACAGGTTCTTGACAGGTGGCACCTGTGCAGCCTTTAGGCTGCTAACAATCTTGACTGGGAAGAGGCGCAAAAGCCACAGCTGTCTCTACGATAACAATAAAACACGGCTCTTATAGCTGACAGTACATCATGTTTCAATATGCAACCAGTTAACTAGGTCAATGCTTGGTTTCTTACTTCCATGATGTAAAGTAGCTGAGCTACACAAGAGCAAGTTTGGACACTTTCCACCTGAATGCAGCTGCTGTCCAGGAATGTAAATGCTCCGTACGCCTTTCTAGTCTTTTCGACCACTCAAAGCACTTTTACACTACATCTGATTTCAACATTCGCACACTGAGCTCAAAGTGCTCAAACAGAAACTAAGATTCATACACCGGCAGCAATTCAGGGTTTAGTATCTTGCCCAAGTACACTTCAAGATGCAGCCTGGGGGACCTTCCAGTTAACAGCTAACCCGCTCTACCTCCTGAGCCACAGCCGCCCCAGTTGTTGAAGAAGTAGGAAAGAAACAGGAACAATGCAAATACTATAAACTTTTAACAAACAGACTGCTTATTTATATACATAATAACTTATTACTTGAATTGCAAAACTAAGAAATACCAATACCATTACTTACAACAACAAAAAAATCTGGGTACTAAGAGCAAGCTCTTTTTACGAGACACGACCATCGCTAAACTGCAAAACCACACAGTCCAACAGCAAGCGTAGAGTGGTGCTACAGGGCAGTGTTTCTTGGCCGAGGACAGACACTGGCTTTCAAAGAGTTTTAGTCTCTTTATTAATTCAGTTAGTAGATGACAGTTTAATTAGATAACCCCCTCACTCATTAAATACATGGCCTCTGCTATCTAATATAGCTGCTCTGCCCTTTTCCCCTCAAGCTTTACATAAATGTGATAAAAGTGTAGTAAATTCTTTAGTTAGCAGAGACAATCTTCATTTCATATTAAGCACCTTGCCCACATTATGATAAACTGCAGGAAACTCTGCTGTGGTATAAAACAAGACTTTGAACGACAGCGATGACAGGATTATTTTAAAGCAATAGAAGCATTCACGCATACCAACCGCAAGATTACTATTAATAAGGCATATGTGAGTTTGTTTGTTTTTTTATTTTATTTTTGAGGCCATTTACTATGGAGAATCATTGATTTCTTGTGTCAGTCTGGTGGACAGCTGCTTATGCTGCTAATGTGATGCTACCTGCCATAAAATGGACGCTTGATGTGAGGAACGTGCGTCAGCTGGCAGCCTTGTCTTGATTAACTCTCCTCAGAGAATCACAGTGCAGCTTTAACTGACACTGTGGTCTCTATTGGCAAAAGGTAGTATCTCCTTTTGATAGAAAGCTATGTAGAGAAGGAACGGAGTGGAACCTGAAAACCTAGATGAGTCCTCCTGATACTCCTCGTCAGGTGATCAGTGTGTCAGTGAGGACTTCTCTCCATAACAACATTCCCAGGTGCAATTTAGTAATGTGCCAAAACCTAGCAAAGTGAATCCATGTGCAATTTATTACTGTCACCTACAAACATCTTGGGAGGAGGCTTGAAGTCAATTACGCCTTTTGTTCTTTAGGTTGAGTGCTGTATTAAGTGTCTCTGTCAAGCGTGTCAAATTGATACAAGAAAAAGTAGCGGGCGGGCATTTTCCCTCGTTCATATTCTCATATCTCAGTAGTAGTCCTGGTGTGCTTGCAGGCTTAAGAGACACAAAAAAGAGCAAGTTCTGACAGACAAGTGATAATGAGTGGGGGCTGAACAAAGCACTAATCACCAAGTGTTGTAATGTCCTCAGAAAAGTGTCAGTGAGCTCAGGAACCGGTCTTTGTACATGTTGAAAGAAACAATAGAGGAGTGTTAGAGGCAGAGGCAGAATTGGGCACATGTCATGCTATTTACTTGTGTAAGTTTTGACACACATGTAGCTGTGTGAATTTTGGCTGTCATACCAGATCTGGTTGCAACGAGAATTAAGGGAATCTGTCAGCACTCCTGCTGCTGCTGCTGAACTTGGATCTTTGATATCTGCGTTGGAGGTAGAACTGAACTTCTCTCTGTGTTTTGTTAATACTGAAATAGTGTCTCTTTTTGTAAATATAAATACCAGGAAAAAAGAATTGGTTGCACTGCATCACAGGTCAGAAACAAAATTATCATTATTAATACCTTCCTCCTTTCTCTCCATGAACTTGTGACGGTTTCTTTCCCAGAAGCCACGCATGTGACACAGAGTGTGAAAATGACTATCAAGGCCACAGCTGTTGACTTGCTGCATTAACTCTGAATGACCCTCTCCACCTTCTTCCACTTTGTGTGTGTGACCTTTTATAGGGGACCTGGCATCAGACGATGAGTACCTGGAAATCCCATCTATCTCCAGACATAGAGCTGGGACTTACGAATGCACAGCCGTCAACGATATCGATACAGACGTCCAGACCGTAGACATCACCGTCAACTGTAAGTCCACTTTGGCCGAAAAATGAAAACATTTTAATATAGGATTGAGTAAAATAGGTAATTGTATTTGAATAAACAGTGCTAAAATGATTGGTCAATTCATAGATTAGTCTATTGGCAGAAAAAATACATCAGCAAATATGATAATCATTTAATCATTTATCAAGCAAAATGGCCAAATCTTTACTGGTTCCAGCTTCTCAAATATGAGCTTTGCTGCTTTTCTCTGTGTTATATAATTGTAAACTGAGTACCAATGCATAGTTGGACTGTGGTTGTAGTTGTAGCCTGACTAATAAGCAGAGTAATTAGTGGTGGCCATTCTAATGTTTAACTCAGCTGATTTAAGTTGTAAAATGTACATATTTAGATTTAAAAATGGATTTTCATGGATTTCCCAGAATCCATTTATTTATTGACCCTGCATTGACCACTCTTCTAAATTGCAATGGGGCTGAATAGTTCTTGCATGTGCTTTCCTATTGGAACTATTACTACAATAATTCAAATGTACTGGATTGGAATGGAGTTATGCAACCCTAATATTTATATGGATCAAAAGCCAGTATCCAAGGCACACAGAGCCCAGAACAAAATGTGAGGATTTGGGGGCACATACAGTATACAGCATGAACTGAACGCTCGCCCAAACATTTACAGTCAAATACGTTTGCTAATGTTTAGCTTCTTTGCTGAAGCTTAATTAGACTGGTTAATTCCTTTGCATCATATGCTGACATCATCCACTGTGATAAATATTGGACAAAATTTTAACATCACTCGAGGTCATGGTGTAGATCACAGCTATGAATCTAAATCCTCTGTAGAAGAGAAGAGGCTCTGACCCCTCTCCTGATATTCTTGACTTGTACTGCCTTGTAGTCCTGATCGCAGTGCTCTCATGTGTTGCCGCCTGCTTGTAGATGCTCCAACTGTGTCAGAGGGCAGAGACGTTGGAGTGACTCTGGGCCAAAGAGGAGTGCTGGAGTGTGAGGCTGATGCAGTGCCTGAGGCAGATTTTGAGTGGTATAAAGATGACAGGAGGTAATGGGATTTACATTTGTATTTGACACAGGCAAATGGATGAAGCGTGTGTGTGTGTGTGTGTGTGTGTGTGTGCATGCTTACTGCAACCCCTTTCACAAGTATTGGTTATTGATCAGCTGCCAGTCATACATTAAGCTTGCTAAAAATTGGTCCTAATTATTAATAAAATTATTATTGTGCTCAGGAATATAGGTAATTTGGCAAATGACTTTGGAAAAGAAAACATAATGGACATGGTTAATTGCATACACTGTCTGTCAATGGATTTTTTCTTTTGCTCCGATGTAGGATCCTCAATGGCTTTGATGGCATGGAAATTGTGAATACTGGATCACTGTCGAAGCTGACATTTTTTAATGTGTCGGACGGAGATTATGGCAACTACACTTGTGTCGCCATTAACAAACTTGGGAGCTCAAACACAAGCTTCCTTCTGTATGGTGAGTACAGTAATCTGTAAAATTTATAGTACTAGATAAACTGATATAAAATGCTGTAAATGTTAAGTGTACATTTTAAGTAAAGTAATAATCTGCATCTGTTTTTTCATATACAGTAAATCTCCATTCTGCTTCTCTCTATCAGTGTGATTCAAACTTTATCCATTTTCTGAAAGCTTGTACAGCTACTGTTTTTAAACATAAATTTATATGCAGGCAGCCACAATTTGTGTAAAATAAATATACCAAAATGAAAAAAATCGAATAAGCCACAGCCTGGCTTTATGTGATTTCATTAGTTGCTCAGTTTTGTGCATGTACTTAGAGAGCTGGATCCTGTGTTCCCAGATGTCCCTAAAAAGTAGACAGGCTTCCACATTTTGGGGCCTGAAGAGCGTGAGTCCTCGTCTGGCTCAGCCGGCTGACTTCCTGCTGGCTCCCCACATTAATGAGAGGCATAACAATAATTCACTGATACTGCTCTTTTTAATTTTTATTGGACCAATTGGCTCATATTCTGCTGATATAGAGTCATTTGTGAAGCTCAGAAAAAGAGCACACACTGTTTTGATAATTGTTTCTTTTCTAGTGACTGTATAAGGGAAAAAGTCTTTAGCCCCTTTCAGACACGCACCTCTGCGTAAATGTGATGGTAGTCATGGTCACTGACTGTAGTTTGTTCATTTTTGTTCTCAGATGAGTGATCACATCAAGGTTCATTACACTGTGACATTCAGCGCTGATTCAGTCTGTTGTTGGTCCAAAATGTTACAGTCAGGTCTACACAAAATTAGGCCCACAGAGCACCATTCGTAAGGTTAATTGCTCAGCAGCCAACAGAATTATCACATTGAGATTATTTCTGTGGCTTTTGTTGTATTTTAATACACTTTTTAATGTACTGTGTATTGCCGCTGAGCTAACGAGACGACAATAATTATTCAGTATTAGACAGTATTGAACAGCTCTATGCCTCATGTTTGTATAAGCAACCAAGTCACTTTTAATGTAAAATGGAACAATTATTTATTGCTCTGTTCTCCTCGTTAGTAGGATCACAGTAAGAAATGTATTGCTTACTTGTAAACTCTTATGCACAGTGACAACAACATTTTTTAATAAACCAGAAGACACTGTGACTCAGAAATTATGGAATAGATCAGGAAATAGATTAGGAGATTCACTGTGAGAGGAAGTGGCAAGCATCCCTCACACTGGTGATGGTCATGATTCAGCCTCTGAGAAAACACTCTCCGCTCACTCTTGAACACCTGGTGCCAAATATCTCATGAGCATTGTGGCTTTTTCTGTAACTGTCCTACCATGTCTCATTGAAGCCATAAGGAAAATGTACATAAAAGACACCTCTGTGACATCACTTTAACCGAACTGATGAAGCTTTACAATGGACTTTTGACACCGTCTGTACTTTGATGAATGGCTGATCAGTTTGAACACACAAGTGTGCAACAGTGCAGCCACAGTGTAGAAGTCCATTGAGCAGCCTACCTATCATGCTTTTCACAATTGTTGTCAATGATGTGTTGCTGTTCTGGTTTCGATAAGTTGCTCTGTTCCATTTGTTTCCCTGGTGTAGTGGTAATTGAACCCACTAGCTCAACGCTACTGCAAGGTTAGTATTCTGCACCAGCATGCACTTCAGCTGCCGTGCATTGAAAATATTAACAGCATGCTGGCACATGACAAACATTGGCATTTTCACAAACTGGAAGTTAGACAACAGTGTCACCGGAGTTATACACAGTGTGTGACGAGAGAAGAGACAAATCATTTCTGGCTGGGTCTAGTTTGTACTGTAATACTTTAATAAGTATTTGTTCTCTTCAGAAATTGATGAGTCAAAGCTGTTGTGTGGCAAGCAGCATCTTTGAAAAAGAGTAATAGCAAAACAAACTGCCATTCAAATGTCATGTGATACCTTTGTGAAAATGGTCATTGTTGCCCATTTCTTTTACCGTGTCTCATCTTTCTCCTTTGCAAACCTAACCGCTTCACTGTCTGACATGGCTTCATTTTGATTTTTGCATGGCATTTTTCCAATGTAAGTATTCATCTTCTTTTATTATCATCATTTGTGCTTGTGTGATTGTTTGTGCGTTGTCGTTACTGTATTTCCGCTGTACATACTACATGGAAAACAGCAAAAGCAAACACAGAAATCTGTAGAACCTCTTTGCAAGCTGAAATGTCTCTTGTATCTGCAAATAGTGACAAACATGATAAACAAACACAGAAGCTGTGGCAATAGTGTGGAGAACACCTCACCCATCTTGTCATTTAATGTGCCTTTGTGACTGGTGGTTGCAGCATCTTGTAAGCAAACGCACTCCATTAACACAATTGTATTAATGCCTTTGATTTTGACTAAGAGTGAACGTCATTATTCTAATTAGCCATATGCAGGATTAGGGATAATCCACTGTGGCAGAGTAATTGGATAGACGCCCCAAAGGAAACTGTGGTGAACTCATGGAAATCCAGGGGAAATGAGTAGTCATTGTGTTGCAAGCTTCAAAGTAAAAAGTTAAAATTTGTCCTCAATCCTCATACAATGCATTCATTTAGATGGAACTTGCCTCATCCCTGAAAAGAGCATGAAGAAAATATTATATGTTTTAGTTTTTGCATCATGAAATTGTATTTAAGTTTAGCAGTAGATTCCTGGAAATGTATTAAATCTGTGCAAACATTGTAACATTTAGAATACATCTATAATACCAAAGGTGCATTAAATACTAAAGAATAAAGCTGACATTTTGACAAACTAATTCAAGAACATTTTCAGCAATTCTCATTAGGGAAAAACTGAAAAATATACTTCCAACGATTGGATTCGATATTATTTTGTAATGTCAGACTTATTATATTAATATTAGCTACAACCTCACTGAGATTAGATCTGACTCCCAGTTACATCTGACCAAGGCAAATCTGGAAGTCAAAGCAAAATCTTAAGAAAATCCTGTTTCAGAGCATTTCTCAGTACAAAGAGTGCCCTTGTTAAATATAGAGTGACCTTTAAGCACTAGATGCAGAGCAATGCTCAGTTTTAATCCCTTCAAACCTTAGTGTAGCATTTGATGCTGCAGACCATGTCACCTTGATCATCAGACTCAAAAACGAGAGCAATCTGCAGCACTAAATGCTCACCTTCTATCTCTCTAATGGAAGCTTTTACTGTACATAATATTGTCATTTTATGTGGTATTTATTTAAAGTTCCCAACAAAGATGGTTTTCCTGGCTTTGGTTTCCTGCTTCCAGTCATTCATTATCATCCAAACAATTACACATTCATATTCAGCCATGTCTGCTTCAGAAAATAAGTTGTCACAACATGATGTGTGTCAAATACATACTGACTGTATAAGAAACGCCTTTACTTTAGCATGAATAAATCTGCAAGAATAAATCAGACCATAAGGTTGATTAACTTACAACATATAAGAAACTGAAATAAACTATTTTACAGATACAGACAGATTTGGCTGTATATGCTTAGCATGGTAAAGTAATAAGGATGTCAACAATATATAATAGGGGCATAGACTGAAAACAAAGAAGCACCTTAGAATAGAACCTTCAGATACTCCGTACCAATGATCTAGTCCCGATTTGGCATCGACGTTGGTTTAAGTTAAAATGAACATCATCCAACAAACGATTAAAATGCTTTATTTCTGTGTTTTTTGAATGTCCCCCGGCAGCGTCTCCTAGAAATGACATAATACTAATTTGTTCTGTCAATTTGTAAGGAAACTATAATAATATATATATATAATAATTTTCCCCTGGATTATGTTCAGTGACAATGTTAATGCCAGTGAAGGGAGGTGGTTGGCATATAAAGACCAGGTTCAGGACTTTGACACCAGGGACTGGGGTTCACATCCTGAGTTCCATGTATGGTTAGGTTTAGAAAATAAAAGCACTTGCTTAGGTTAGTGAAACATCATGATTTTGTTTTTATTGTTGATAAGATTAGGTGGTTCTGTCTCAGTTGATTTTTCCAGTTTTTAATCCCACAATCTCCTCCTAAACTTAACCCCGTGCTGAATACATAAACATAACCATTAAAAAGTGCCATGCTTTAGTTGCAATGAGCTGGTACATATATTGTTGGAAAACAAATGGAATATGTTGCCAGTGAGAATTTTCAAAATTTTCAACATTTATCAACACACAGCTGTGTTGTTATTAAAATGAATTTTGTAGATGCATTTGGCAACTTGCCAGATATGTTCATTAAAAATGTTCCTATTTATGTTGATTAAAAAAGAAGGATCACTGCCTTTCTCTCTGTATTTTTATTATTATTATTATTAGTATTACTCTGCAAATCTGATTTCTAGGAGTTACTTCATTCACAGATTCATTAACAATTCAGTGTCTTAGGGTCACACACGTCTGCTAGTGCTACCATATTCTGTCATGTAAACTACATGGTAATACAAACTAATATTCCATACCTCTGAACACCCACTAATTCTAAACTATAAATTCAAAATGCAAAACTGTGTGATCACTTATCATGTACACTGGTTTGCATATAGAAATGATGTACAAACAGTCACAGTAATCACAAAGTCATACATTTAGTGGAATGCTGGGCAGGAATTAAGCCAAAGAATTGTTATCAGCAGATAGGAATAGATAGTTTATCTGATCATTTATGTACCTCCAGTTAACACAAACCAATCTTCAATGGTGAAACTTAACCATGTTGTTTTTTTTCCACCTGTCAGGACCGAGAGCAGTTCAGGATGGCAGCGGCGGCGCCATGGGAGTGCACTCACACACCTGTCTCCTCTTCATAGTGTTTCTGCCGTTCCTGCTCAGATTTTGAAGAGGAATGGATTCGAACACAAATGTTTGTGTGTGTGCGTGCGTGCGTGTGTGTATGCGTGCGTGCGTGTGTGCGTCTGATGTTTTCTTTTCAACCGGAACCATAAACTGATGCACAGTGAGTGCATGAAGTATCCTGCTACGTAATTATGTTGACCCACTAAATAAGTACGTAACAAAAGTTTCTGTTGTTTTTTTTAGATTTCAAGGATGTAACAAATGTTTCACATTTTAATTGAATTATGTTGGATATTTTTCTCTCTAAATTATATAATTCTGGATTGTCTCTTTTTATGTATATGTCTCTGAAAAAAAAAATACTTTTTTAATGTGGTGTCTCTTATTCAAATGGATTTGTCTTAATTTTTAACCACATTGCATATTCATCTCAACTAAAAAAAGGCAAATTTACAGCAAGTATGAGAGGTGAATGTTAAAAACCTCAAAGTCAAACAGAGATAGTGAAGCAGACGGAATTTAGGTTACCCTGAGGCTGACGGCCTAGTATTATCATATTTTAATGTATAATAATTATCATTCAGTCTGGTTGATGCAAGCAGAATTGTTTTTGACCTCCAAGTATTCTCAGCATTATAGCGATACTACTTGCAGTTGTGTTATGCTAATATTTTAATTACATTTTTCAATTATGTTTAGTTTTAAATATTTTGAGAAGGCAAAATATGAAGTTGTAATTATTTAGGACAAATGCCCTAGTTTTATGTCTTTGTTGTCTTTTTTTTTTTACCAGTACAATTGTACACAAAAATGGTGTCAAGAATAATTATGTTATAATTAAGTAGTTAAAAATGGAGAGAGAGTTTAGTCACTGGTGTGGAGACTGTGTCTGACTTGAGCAATGCAGATGTATTAATGCTGTTCCTACTTGTGTAAACATCATGCCATTTCTACACAACATGGTTATTTGAGAAAATGTTCCTGTTCATGTTCCAGACCAGCACTTTAGGGTTAGAGACCACTCAGTAAAATCATGCTAATAGAAAATAAACACTTTCTGCATGTATTTAGACACCAATAACCCAAAGACTTTAGCAGTTTATACGCCACACTTCATAGGATTTGTGTTTTCTAGTCTCAACACCAAACACTTTTTCCATAGTATTGTCTTTTCACCACCTACAAGAGGGTAAACATGTTGTGTTATAATATGGGTTTAACATAAGGGGGTTATTTGGAAATCATAGATACCTTTAAACCAAAATGTACAGTTTGTGGTTTATGACTGTGAAATGCTCATCTGAACATAACATTTCCAGCTCTTATTGAAAAGAAAGGAATTGCAGGCTCACTGTACTGTTTGTGAGGCAATTTCATCAACTGAAATTGATCAGTTGTTCGAGCAAAAACACTACAGCTGCTCTTGTCACTTGACATAAAGCTTGCATTATAAGAAAAGACAGGTGATGTGAGAAAACAAGAAAATCCTATATCTGTGTTCTATGGAGAAAGATCAGCGCAGCACCACTGGCGCTGTGAGAGGCAGCATACAAACGACAGACCTCCATTACCTTAGTTTATTGAGTGTGAGGACTTTATGCAACAATCAGATACCTCTCACGACAAGGCAGCAAGAATTAAAGCCAGTAATTTATCTTTTTCACATCTCTTATGTTGGCAAACAATTTACACCAACTGCCAGACCACACTCAGGTTCCCCCCAGCAGTGGAAAAGAGTTGAGTGACAACAACAAAAAAGCCAGACGTGATGTTAGGCTACTGGTTTTGCAATGTGGGAGGCAATGCCTCTCTTTTGCAAAGTGTATTGCTGTTTGTGTTTGTAGACGCACAAACACAACCATTATTGACTGTTGGTTTCTATGAGAGCTGCACTCCACATCATCGGATTGTGTGCAGCACTAAAGGATTTGGAGGATTCCATTAACACAACATCAAACAGGAACAGTGAATTAAAACAAATTAGTCTGTGTGCCTGTTTAATGGTGGGGCAATGATGTGCTTCTTATGAACCCCCAGCTCTGATTGAGTGTGTTTTCACATATGGTTATTTTAAATTAATGCGAGCTCGGTCAACACTGAGCAGGCCCAAAGGAGAAGAGCGAGCCAGAGCCGGTGATCTCTGCTCTGTTAATGTTCATCTTTTCCTCTCTTAAAAGAAAATTCTCATATTTTTTTCCTGGCTTGCCCCCAGCTCTGGTGAGGTCATAGTCCACCACCCATGTGCACCTCAGTTTTTCTTTTTGCTTCGTGGCTCTTGGGGATAACAAGGTTTATGCTCCTTGATGTGAAAAAAGAGCCAATACCCAAATCAAAACGGCATGAAACAGATAGGGCCATTATTGAAATTGATCAGGGTAATCATCAGCTGAATCTGACAGGCTAATCATGGTTTGTTTTCACACACAAGACAAAGAGAGAGAGAGAGAGAGAGAGAGAGAGAGAGAGAGTCAGCCACTGCAGACTATTCATCTCCAGCACAGTGATGTTTGGAAATGACATGGTAATTATTCCATCCTGGCTTGAAGGGTGGCATCACTGATCTCTCGTCTATTTTGCAGTCATTTTGCCACAAGATTAACCACATTTAAGATGAACTGAAGTCAGATCACCTCCCAAGGAGGTCTGTGCTGGGATCCCTTCAGAAGGGCTTGTGTGAAGTGGTTGCTGTCAATTTGCACAAACAATCACACTCATTGCTTTGAGTTCACTTGAAAGGTTGAAAAGGAGCCAAATGTGAACGCAGCTCGCTTAATAGTTTGTCTGAAAATCAATTAACAAAAACACACACCTCACTACTTCTCTTTCTGGCACACACACCTGCGCCACAGATTCTTCTGAAGTAAGACGGTTTATTGTAAATTTCTGCCTACATTTGTTTTGTAGAACAGCCAAGCACACATTGTAAAAGCTGGGTCATTTAGTTTATTTTTTCTACCTCTGAGCATTCATTAAACTCCAATTATTTAACGGCACAGCAATTACCACCTTAAAGTAATATTTAGATCTGGTCATGGATGTGCATTATGTGCGCTGTAATAACAATGTAAGTGAGACTCATTGACAAAAACCCTTGCTCTACCACACTGCTGCATGGTCACTATTGTTTCTCCGGGAGTATCACAGCACTCCACAGGTTTCTGAAAAGACATTGCAGTTTATTTTCTTTGTCTTTAATGAGTGTCATGTTGTTTTGTTGAAGCAGATCAAATACTGAGGACAAACCCATGTTAAGTGCTTACCTTTAGAATACAAACGGATCTGTACAAACCAGCAGGGCTGCTGTGAAATTATAACATGTATTGCTAGATTAAATTCAAATGAATTTTTTTTTAAACACGTAACCAGAGGTAAGGAAGTGATTTTATAGCGGACTTAAGACACCTAATATCCACCTTATAATAGCGATGCCATATGGTCACTATGGCAGTGATTCAGAGTTGAGGCTGCACTGAGCATTAGAGACTTCAAACCAAAACTGAGCAAATTAATATTCTGACTTTAGATGCATCATTAAGAGGAACCCTGCTAATTGTCAATATCAAGCAAGCATTTTGTGTTTTAACTGATGAGATCTGTGGTCACAGACACAATGTGGTAAACTGTGAGGCACTGAGCTGAAGAAGAAACAGAGGCAATGAGCAATCTGATCTGTGACATGAGGACGAGGTATTCTGCCTCTTCAGTGGCGATAGAAAGCAGTCAGCACCTGTCAGATTTCTGCTAGAAATCCTGCTGGATCATATTCAAAAGTTTTGGCCTTGGTCTGAGCCACATGCAGCTAACAGAAAAGTATCATCTTCGTTTCATTCTTCTCCCTGCTGTTCCAAACATGTTACAAGAGAAGGCATGCGGAGAAAACCTATGCAGGTTGCTTCTTTAAACGCTTAATTTGGATTGTTTTCTGACCTGAGGCCTTTTGTATTTCTTAGCACCAGGGATCTAGATGCATTGTGGCCACTGGTTGCCTCAAGGTTAGACAAGCTGACTAGCACAGCAGTTAAATAAACACAATCTCATTACATTTAGTGAGACAGTGTGATGTTTTGCTTTGCACAACACAGCTATTTGCCATGTTATGGCTCATTTAGTTGAGAAAACGCTAATAAGTTCTCAGTTGGCCCCTCATATTGTCCTGTTGTTAACTGGACTCATCCTCTATTGTAGAACTGAAGGGATATAAGCCTCACTCAGTGTTGTGACTGCAGCTCTTTGCTAAATACAGTAACAGCATGTTTATGCAAGCAGTCTCTTCGTGAGTTAAATACAGTTAAAAATTGAACATTGATTGTTTCTCCCTATGAGGTATGAACAGCTGCATATAACATGCATCACAGTCAGGCAAACTGAACACAGCAGGAGTTGGCATACCTACTTCAATGGGAAATAAGCAACTTCCATAATTGATAATAATTCATCAGCTCTCAGACAAACAGTAGGCACTTGTACTTCAGTTTCTTTCTGCATGACATTAAAAAGTCAGCCTCTGTGCTGTCTTATTAGAGCAAATGCAAATGTTCCAAACTCCCACCAAGCATGACTTTTAAAAAGGATATGCAAGACACACTGCAAGTCCCATTCAAGCCAAACTTATAATGATAAAACCTAGCAACCCGGGGAGAGGATCTTGGAAATACACTAGTAAAATATTTCTCATCCACCCCCAAAGTTCAGCTAGGAAACTGCACTGAGAAGGCCTGAATACACATAACTTTCCCTTTTTCTGTCTGACTCCAGTCAGCCAATTCTGAATCACAGCCCATGAAGGCTTATATTTTGGCAGTAGCGCTGCATATTTATGTTGATATGACCAGTTCTATTGTCTGTTTGAAGACTGCTAAGGATTGCAGGACTCATTCTCTCTTAACCCAAGCAAACATGGGCCCAGTTGGAACATTGGCTGAGTTGGAGAAAAAACTATGAGTATATTTATTTTCTTTGTCTCCATATGTGCAAGGCAAGAGAATAGTCTTTGAAGAAAAACTGACACCATTTATGAAAAATGACTGAGCTTGTACCGCACCTACCAGATATTACTATTAATTTTAGGTGTTTTGTGACATTTGTGTGATTTGTATTGGATTCTGGAAGAGATCATTTTTGGATGTGAACTTTAGTTAGACATGAGAAATCAAACCTTTGTCTCAGCTGCCAGGGGATTATCATAACAGACGCATGAAGTCTCATGATCTGTTGGGATTTATTTTGGATGATTCACATTAATAAAATTATTCCCTTTGCCTGGCTACAAGTTCACAGGGCTCTCTTCAGATTAGATTGTTCCCAAGTGAAGGGGGACATCATGCTTTTTGTGTCCCTGCAATGTAAAGGAATGTTGGTTCATATGTATTTTCTTGATGCAAAGTGTGTGCTCATATTTAAGACTGACAATAATAAAATGTTGTATCTTAAGATCGTGTGGTGTTTGTGGTGTTTTTTCAGGGTTTATTCCCATTGACTATACATATGAACAAATCAAATCTTTTTCTATTTTGCACTGCCAGCAAATTTTCCAAGGTGTACAGACAGCAATGTTGCCTAAAATGGCAACTATCCAAAAACAAGACAGCTCTATTGATTTTTTGATCCCACAGAAGTTCTGACCTTGGACTGAGCTCATTGCGGTCTGTCCACTACATTACCAACAACTGCAAACTGCAGTTTACTAAATGACACCAGTGTGTCTTGAAGCCTGAACACAGTGTATTTTAAGGGTTCTGGTACATCAATTATGGACAGCCACAGCAGGAGGTCTGCCATAAAGCTCTGAATCTGTTTCTCTTCCTCCACCACAAATGTTAATTTCACACTGTAGCTGAATGCAAAATTGCTGTTGCAGTTGCTGTATAGCTGATACATGTAACAAGAATCTGAAGGCTTCCAATGGGAGTTGTCACTGGCAATGATGCTTGTGACCTAGAACAGTGATTCACTAGACAGTAAATAATGTAAAGCATGTCCATGGTATATACAGTATATAAGGTATTGTGGTTTTTATTGTATTTTTTAAGTGGTGACAGAAAATGGCTTTGCAGTTGGCATCCCACTGCGCTACTTCAGCCTCAACGAATATTTAATTCATGCAAACATCTGCTCTCTGCAGCTGAGAGTTCCTCCATACACCACTGACTGAATACAGTGTTGGAAAAATAAAAGATTTTTCTTTGCCTTATGTTAAAGACCATTCTATTACACTCAGGGGTATAACAAAACACTCAACCCACAAGGCGAGGCGAGACACAAGATTGGGTTCACGAGATCGAGACAAGACAAAATTTTCATTATATGAAAATTTTCATTATATGAAAATTTTGAGCATAAAATACTCAATTTCCTAAATTCTGTGAATGTTTCTGCACCAATTTATGGTGGAAATGTTTTTATTTATGTAAAGGGAAACAATTCAAAATATAATGGAATATATTGCTGTAAGGCTCTAAAGCATTCTGTATTGTTTTCAGATATTTTTCTTCTGTAGATCAACTTTTCTCATGTAATATCATCCCTGCTGAGTCAAAATACATGCAGGTCTGATTTAGTCTCCCCTGTTCTTTTGTGTCTTTGGCTACATCCACACTACTATGTTTTTGTTATAAAACAAAAAATGATCTCCGTCCACAGAAGCGTGAAAAAGGTAAAGAAGAAGAATATATAGTAGTACAACAGAGGAAGAACCACACAAGAGAATTGTTTAGCATGGAAAGACAACGAGGTGGAACTGTTACTGATAGTAACACGGGAGTACAATGTGACTAAGGCGGCGGAAAACAGACTGGAAGTCAGTGTAAAGTAAATACGGCGACATGCACAGTACAAGTGTATAAGTGTTATTTGCACAGTACAAAAGATTTTAATAAAATAACGAAACAAAATCCCTGTCAGTATCATTGTATTTTTGATATGCATGACTGAAGACATGGATCAGCAAGCCAAATGTGAGTGCCTGCGTCACATATGCATGTATGTATTGCTTTTATTTTATTATATTTTCATGTGTGTAGATCTGTGGGCATATGCTCATGTATAGCCTAGCCTGTAGTTAGCATTTAGGATTTAGCATTTAAGCAACATCTACATATTATACAGCCAATATATGCAGAAAGTTAAGTTAGTCAGAAGATAGCAAATATAATAAATATCATAAATTAATTTAGTTTAGTCTCTGCCTTGGTGCCTCAACCTGGCAACCAATGCCTATTGTTAGAAGAAAACAAAACAGCCCACATTTCCTTAGACCTGTAGACCACTTCAGACCTGTAGAAGTGGTCTACAGATGTCTACAGACGTGACAATCTCCTGCTTTTCTCTCTCTCTCCTAAAATAGCTTCCAATGTCTATCTGGTCGGTGGATTGAAGGATGTACCTGTACAATATAGCATTAACAGGGACACTGTAACTGTAATCAGATGGTGCAACAAACTGATGATACCTAATCCCATTTTGTACTCATGGGTTCTCCGATTCCTTTGAGTGTCTGCCTAAGATCCCTGCAAACCAGCTCAGTTAGCCAGCAGCTATGACACAAAGTCTACCAACAAAACTTCACATTCTAAGAGAAGCATTGAAGTGGCTTAGCGCAGAGCTGCTAACTCTGAGGAGAACAGACAGATCGTCCGGGTCCTCGGTCTGCACAAACAACACACGACTCACCAAAAGGCTGCAACAAAACCACAATTCTTCCCCGGCTTGCTAAATCCACAATAGACTTGTCAACTCCCAACTAGCAGCCTAAAGCAACTTTTCTTCCTTTGAAGACTAATAATGTAATGTACCCGGGCAGTATATTGCCTCACATAGCTTAGCAGTGTAAAGTTACCTGGTTAAGAGTAGGACTTTAACTTGTGATCAATGTACACTGCTGATGTGTTTTTTTGTTGTGATCATGTCATGGTTAACATGAGGTTATTGTGTAACTGTAGTTCTCAGGCACTACTGACATGATGTTAGTAATGTTATGCTCCACACAGACAGAGTCTCTGCATGCAAACTAACTCATATTAACTTGGCACTGTTACACAGATCACATACATAAACTTCTATTTGGCCTTAACACAACCACACACTGCAGAGAGGAACTTTAAAGCTCCTGCTTCTTTGTTGTGACCACATGTTTTTATGCTCGTGCCCATGAGACATATGGAGGCAGACCAGCTCACACACACACACACACACACACACACACACACACACACACACACACACACACACACACACACACACACACACACACATCTTTGTCCTTTAGTTTAGTGCATTTTAGTTGGATTTCTTCTGATGTCCAATTACAGTTGTTTATCTATTAAAAGCAACATTATGTAAAATTTGGTGCAATTAGGCAACCCTACCATTTCAGAGTGTAATTCAATGCTGTCGGAAATAAGGACAACTGTACACACGCATTTCTTGTGATTACATTACCTCTGATAAAAAAAACTAGCAAGTCGAAAACTTTGCTAAACAGCCACAACATTAAGCAAGTGCAACAACACAAGACACTAATATTACTGACTAGTCCAAGAGTGGCAATGACAGATATGCTATTCTCCTAATTATAAATCAGTGTACCATCAAAATGATTTTCAAGTTGTTCTTTTAAGAAACAATTACTACATACTGTTGCTTTAAAGAAATGCTTGTGGATATTCCGGGGTTTTTTTTCATGTTGCACAAGAGTGAATATATTGCCAACCCCTTCTATGTAGAACTCCAAATCCTTCAATCTACTTGCTAGTGATAGTAATTTTGGTTATACTTGAATTTAACAAATTAACACAGGTTAAATTATATCATTAATAATTTAACAATAGTAATAATAATAACTATTGATGCTATATTAACTGTAATTTCAAGAAAACTCTTTTTCTTTATTTTTCCATCCATGTTTCTGTTCCATGACTTGTTTGTTTACTGCACTTATGATGTTTTTAGTCATAAATATTTTACATAGCCATAGGACTTTTGAATGTCTCTATCCTCCTGAGGCCTAACAGAGAACACATCTCTTTTACACGAGTCTTTTGGGAAAACTATAAAAAAAGAAAATCATAAATCAATACCTACTTTTGTTATTTCTATTGGATGAGCGTGGCTATTGATGCTCATGGGATTTGTTTTTATCCCACAGAAATGTTTATGCTCAATTTCCAGTCCAGTCAATATACTCATAAGTATTTTATTACATTTTATTGAACTCTATTGGTCACCAGTTGTGGGAAGATTGACCTAATTGATTGGTCTCAGCACAGTTGGTTGTGGTCTAGAGTAGACCAAAGCCTGAGGCTTTGGGTCTGTTTGTTAAGGCATTCTGTAGAGATGTGGAGAAATATGAGTCTCAGCCTCCTCTAAGATAAATATCTATCTGTGTGGTTTCTTGACATTGCTGCTGATGTCATGTCATCATCAATGTTGCACATAGTTGAAATCTGTGCTTTTAAAATCCACAGAAGAAAATATTAAGACGTGACAACATATCATCAGGATAAACCATCAGTGTGATTACAAAGGAAGCACAGGAAACACTGTAAATGTCACCACAGACAATTTAGTTTATGGTAGTGTCACTTGGTCCACCACTTTTGCCCAAGCTAAAACCATCCATCCATCCATCCATCGTCAACCGCTTATCCTGCGTACAGGGTCGCGGGGGGGCTGGAGCCAATCCCAGCTGACATCGGGCGAAAGGCGGGGTACACCCTGGATTGCTCTGTAATTTGGTTTGATATTTTTATCGTTTGATATTTTTATTTAAATTTTCTATCTCCCTCAGGGTGAGTAGTTGCTAAGTAATATGATTATACTCCACTTAAGTAAAATGGTGAGAAACTAGTGATTCAGTAGTGAGTAATTAATGAGTCGTTATTAGATTTGTGCTGCTCAGTGGCGGATTCAGAGTTAATCAGGAACTACTCATAAAGAGAGTGGTCAGTACGTTGATTCACAAATCCTTATGAACTAATCATTAATGATTTATTGATATAGTATCTCTTATTCTGTTCTCTAGTAACTCTCTATCATCATCTGTACAGTCTTCTGAGATATTCATTAACTACTTATTAACAATTATTAATAATCAGGTCGTTCCTCACTTCTTCCCTAGTAACTTCTCATAATTTTGTGAACCATATTGTAAAGTGTTACCCATTTAGGTAGATGTAATGAATAAGACCTACATACTCCTCTGTAGTTCAAGTGTCCCTTGCTCCTACTTAATGGAGGTAAATCCCTTTTAGAAGCCTCTATAAAAACACATTGTTGGACAGAACAAACAACATACTGGTGATTTCTGCCATTCTCAGGAGCTAAAAATATACATTTTTTCCCAGTAATGATAGGACTGGTCATGGGCTTCATCATGTAATCAATGTAATCAGCAAATTCCATGGCTTTCACAGCACCATGGTCTGAAGCAAAGT